AAGCTCTATTTTTTTGGTTTTCCATTATTGTTTCATACGCTCTTCTTCGGCACACACTCTTGTTTTGCAGATTGAAGCAGTATAATTTTGATATAAAAGATATAATTCTTTGAGGTGACATTGTCGATAAATTTTCAAAAATTTTTTTATTTTTTGGTTTAAATTTCACTATCCACCGAAAGATTAGCATGTGCACTTTACTTACACCAAAGGATTTGTAATTCTATCAAAGCAATAAAAAATGCCATACTTTCCAGAAAATTAGAAGTTCGGTCGATAACAATATGACTTCAGCATCCTCTTAATAACATTTCTCATTATGATTACGTTTACACAACTCCGATTTACGCCAAAGTTATAACATTGATGTAATAATTTCGTCATAAAATAGCGTTTACACGGCATCTAATATTAGTAGTTATAACATCGATGTTATAACTTCGGCGTAAATCGGGCCGTGTAAACGTAATCTATAACTTACAAGGATGATTTGATAACTCGAAAATTCTAAAAAATCTGAAACTGCAGGAAAGTAATACATATAAATCTAATCAATATATGTATACGTACATTTGGAATAATATACAACAAACTAATGTAAAGAAATTTTAGTTATCAGGTAATGAATAAAGAATATGATGAGCCTTGTTACCAACTACTATGGGAGGATCCTCACACTATTCTCATGTGTTTTGATAATTCCATTAAAAAAATGGATATGAGGTAATTAATCTTATTGTTAATGCTATTTAGCCATTCAATTTATTAATATTTGTTACTGTAATTTCAGAACATCCGAATATGTACGTAAATGGGATTATTACCAACATGACCCTTTGGTCTGTTTTTCATCAGATAATATATACACTATTATGACGGGGGGTCTTAAGGGAGTTCTATGGGATCAGAGACAGAGTGAAGCCATTCAAGTTTGTATTATTTTCAAATTTCTTGTATCTTGTACTCAAGGCCAGATTTAGATCGTAGGGGGCTCCTAAGCACTGGCTTTAAAGAGGACCTTCTTAATTTTTTCCGTCAATTTAATACTCGTATGGAATTAGTTGTATGGAACCTTTGAGGCCCTTGCTGGTGTGGAGCCCTAAGCAATTGCTTATATTGCTTATGCCAAAATCCGACCCTGCTTGTACTTAGTGAATTATTATTAACCATGAATGTATAAATAACTGGATGGAGCGATATGTGGTCTTATTTGCGAGGTGGGTGAAGCCTGAGCGATAGGGAGATTCATACAGCGGCGTTGGTTGGCTAGAAAAATGGCGGTGTTAGTAACCTAACTTTGGCTTGGCAATCGCGTTCACATGGCTTGTAGAAAACCAAACAATTTGTAATTTGTAGAAAACTGAGCAATTTAAAGATTTGAACTTATTACCTCTACTTTTATGTATTCATATATTATAATTATGAATAATATTCATATATTATAAATTCCACGCTTGTTAGTTACCCGTAGCCGCCATCTTGGTTGGCTAGTTTTTCCCTTTCCCCTCTGGCTTCAACCTCTTACGCTATTGCTCTGACCATATATTCTTACGTCCGTGTTATTAACTGTCTTAAAAATTTTTAGACGTATGATGTGGACCCTGAGAAGTGGGCAATTATACAGTCTCTGGAATTTGATAGTACTCATATGTATGCTGTTACACACAATGGTCTTTTTGAATTGGACTTTACGGAAAGAAACCACTTTAACCACAAAGGAATAAAAAAGTTTTTAAGCAATATTTATTAGGAATACAAATAAGTTTTAAACTGTTTTTTGTAGAACATAAAAAAGTAATTCAAAATTTAAATATTCTCCCGCTCTTTTCCGATTTTGTAGTGTTTATATGGTAACATAAAAAATAACAACCAACTTCACGATATTGTTTGTGTAACCTAAAATGGAAGCAGCTTGAAATGGCAAACGAGAAACAATTTATTCGGCACTGCATTCGCTATGAATTCCATCAAGAAAAGAGCGCCGTAAAAGCGTGTGCATCAATTTGTTTGACTCTTGGAGACAAAAGGTCTGTTCTTTATAGCTGAACTGGCTGTACTAGTTCAGAGTTTATCTTTTTCCCTCCACATTGGAAGGAGAAAGATAAACTCTGAACTAGTGCAGCCAGTTCAGCTATAAAAAACAGACCTAATGTTGTATCCAAAAGTACGTGTAAATTTTGGTTCAGACGGTTTAAAGAAGGTGATTCGACGTTAGCGATCGTGAACGTAGCGGAGCTCCTTTCAAGACTGAGGACGATAAATTACAAGCATTACACGATGAAAATTCGTCTCAAACGCAAAAAGAGCTTGCATTACAACTGGGAGTAAAGCAACAAACCGTTTCTAACCGTTTACAGAAGATGGGAAAAATTCAGAAAAAGAGAAAGTTTGTACCACACGAATTGAGCCAGAAGAACAAAGATAACCGTGTCGAAATGTGTCTGAATCTGTACAACAAACAGCACAGAAAGTCTTACCTGTGGAAAATCGTAACGGGTGATGAAAAGTGGATATATTACGATAATCCCAAGCGAAAAAAATCATGAGTAGACCCCGGCCAACCATCCACATCAACGCCAAAGCGGAATATCCACGACCAAAAGGTAATGCTCTGTATATGGTGGGATATGCAGGATGTGCTATATTATGAGCAACCACGTGAAACGGTTGATGGTGATCGCCATAGTCGACAACTATTGAGATTGAACGAAGAAATCCGTCGAAAACGTCCATATACTGATAAAGGATTGCGTCCGGTGAAATTGCTTCATGACAACGCTAGGCCTCATGTCGCTAAAACGGTCAAAGAAACATTATTGACGCTTGGTTGGGATGTTCTACCGCACCAGGCACCTATTATGGAACTTTTTGGAATGGATTCCGATCGGAATAATTCCGTTTTCCCTAGGTTATCCCTAGGTGTGTTATTATGGACACTCGGATTGTTTTCGATTTGATCGAAAAGTTTCCGATACCTCGCGAGCTGGTGAAATGTCGATTCCGATCGGAATGAAATAGCGCGAACAAAAGAGTGATATATTTTATGCGTAATCTTTAACGTAAATTTTTGAAGTTATATGAAATTTTTTTACATTGTGTGAGTAACATATTAAGTTGAGAATGTAAGTATTGAAGATATTTTTAATTTTACACACATACACATACAAGACGATTTGTTTTAAGTAACAGATAAATTTTTATGTGGAAGTAACTATTTTCCAAGAAAATGTTTCTCACAAAAGTTATTTGGTTCCAAGAAATAAAAATATGACTTAAATGGAGTAATGTAAGGACAAAATGGGACTCCAAGAAGAAAATAAGATTATGGTCTTAAAATAATTTTTCAAGGAACACTTATTTCCAGAAAAAAAGAAAAAATTTGTTAAATCGAATCGCTTTGTATATCTTTATTATAATAGTATATTTAATATATTTATATTTCTGTATATTTGTTTATTTATTACGTTTCCTTTTCTTCTTGATATTATAGTTAGCAATATTACGCCACGAAAGGGAAAGACAGCGCCTCGCAGAAATTCATGCAAGTCAAATAATGAGAAGAAGACTTAGAGATATGCTTGATCCATTTGCTTTGCCTGAAAATGAATTTATGGGCATGTATCGGTTAACAAGAAACATGACGAGAATTCTTGTAGAAACGTTGGAACCATATCTTTCTCCACGAAGGAGAGCTCTGGGTATTCCAAATGAATTGAAGGTAAAAATAATATGTATAGCATTAAAATAGCAGTTGAAAAGGAATAATTTTATCAATGTAGATTCATAAAACACTTATGGATATGTTCAGTTTTATGCATGATACGCATTATGTATCATTTTATTCTTGTTTAACATTCGATGAACAACAAGGATAAAATAATATATCATGTGCATCATGCATAAAACGAAACGCACTCTATGTAGTTAAGAGTAGAGAAATTTGTTTAATTATGTATAATAAATATGAATGTAATTAAAATCTCATTATTTATTACTAAAATATACTTATTTGTAGCTTTTTAGAAAACAGTATTAAAATTTTACATATATTTTTTTGCCAAGTCGTCAATAATCGTCTAAGATATAAACAATTAAAAAAGTATTATTTCATTATCTTTTAATTTATTTTTTCATTATTTTTTAATAAGAGATTATTGTATTATATATAATTTTTATTAATTCAAACAGGTACTGTGTGCCCTGAATTTCTATGCTCAAGGTAGTTATCAGAAAGCTGTCGGTGTGGATAGTAGGTTGAGTATAGCCCAACCTACTGTAAGTGTAATCTTACAAGAAATAACGAGTGCCATCAATAATTATCTTCTAAGACAATGGATACGTTTCCCAACAACACTGCAAGAGATACAGCAAATCGTTCAAAGGTATATATTAACAATAACAAGTTGTGTAACTCTATGTTTACTTAGAATTATAATAAATAAAAATATTTATATTAATATTATATTTCTTTTATTACTAGAAACTTACAAACTTTATAATAAATGTTTTGAAAGAATACATACATATAAAATATTTTAATATTAGAAGAACATAATAACTTGTTAAATATATGTAAATGGCGTAATATATGATCCTACACAGCACAAAACATCCTATGACATCTTAAGGATATCTCAATGT